CTATTCTGTTATCTGTATATTCCTAGCGAAATGCTGGTAAATGATATCCAATTATTCACACATACACGCATATAACTGTATATCACACATAATTTTGTAATTCAGATTTCTATAACTATGACTCTCAACTAAACATTGCCACTACATGCTGAATTAAAAGTACATACTACTTACAGTGTATAGAAAAATGCACTATTAATAGGATTTTTGGAAGTTTCTAGTCAAGTATTGGTCACAGTTCATGCACTTTTGTCTAACTTTTCATCTTCGATGACTAAGTGACTCAGACACGACTAAATAAACATTTTAAAGACATTTCCTTCAACATACACCTAAATATTTTTATTTTTCTTGATCATTTCCTAGAAGTGGTTCGAATCATTTTGCCGAATTAAGCATTATTATTTGTTTCAATTTCATTAGGGTCTATACAAATATATTTTTGAATATAAGACCTAGACAATTTATGGGTTATTTCAAAGTACTCTTTAGTTTACACCTATTAGGAGGAATTTCCGTGTTACCCGTTGATTTTCCTTGAGGTAATTTTTGATGGAAATAATAGGATAGACTAACCGAATTCCTTCACACGTATACGAGGAATATTGTAACTCGTCGATTTAATCAGGTTAGCTCAAAACACGAAGCTGGTTTCAGAAGAAATCGCTTCGTTTAGATGCTGAAGTATTCTATGCATACCACATAGAAGCTCTGAATCGAAAAGTTGGAAAAATCTTTCATTACTTAAATAACTTAACCTAAATAGCACAAAAGGGATTGCATGCAAACACTATCCAAGAGGGCAAAGACTCATTGCAGCACTCCCACCTTAAGGAAAATTGAAGAAAAATATCTCATGGACGTCTTTCCAAAAAATGGATATCCACCAAATTTCATCAAAAGACATTCCCTTAAGCCAACCTGTCAAACCAAAGGCCCCAAAGGAAAGCACAAAGAAAATCGCCTAATCATATATAGGATATCTCAGAAATCACTACAAGACTATTCAAACCTTTAGGAATTGACGTCGTACACAAACCTAAAAATTCACTTCACTCAATTTTATGTTAACCAAAAGACTCAACAGCGGAAGAAGATAAAACCAACATCATCTACAAAATAAATTGTAACGAATGCGAAAAACACTATATTGGTCAAAGTGGACGTCCTCTTCGTCTTTGTATTCACAAACGTAAGTTAGCCGTCAAAAGACATGATATCGACACCCTCGCTCATATCACTACAAACAGACAACCACGGACATCAATTTGACTGGGACAAGCAGCGTTCAAATATTAGACAGAGGAAACAACAAGAATGCTAGAGAATTTTCAGAAGCTTGCCTGGTATTCCGCTGAGTCATCAATCAATAGACACTTCGAGATAGACTAAATTTATCAACCGATAAGAAAGAAACTTCACACACGAAAGGGTCAGAGTTCAAGTCAAAGGAACAATCAGTTCCAATACAAGTAACCTAGAAGGTGTGAAAACACACAAAAACAAGCAATCACATCCAAGGTCACCAGCAGAGATGACTAATAAACTCGTGGAGAAATCTAAAAGCTCACTTCAAATTGAAGTGTGCGCTGAAGATGTCACCCAGTAGGGTGATGAAAGCTTCGCAAATTAACCATCCAGCTCAGAGAACACAACCGCATCAAAATAATAATTAATCGTCATGAAGCATTTTCGGCCAGTTAATTCTAATACTCCTTTTAATAGTTCCGAAGTACATCCGGAAGTAATGACATCTTTATGCGAAACTATAAACTACTGATTGAATGAGAAGAGTAATTGATAATTATTTATTTTTATTTTTGATAACAGCTTGTGTCCTTACTGTATTTTTGGTACAAGTATGGAATTTTCAGCATGGATATCGGTAACCCAAACTTTGCAGGCCGACCATAGATATCAGGTGTGCGTCGGTAGGGGATCGAACCTCGAACCATGTGCATGGTTGGCGGGAGTTCTAACCCCTGTGCTATCACCATTGATTGATGATGGTGTGCATGTGTGTGTCTCCACTATTCAGGTAGGTACTGGTGGGAAGTCATTACCAATAGGGTGCAACAGGTCGGATTTGAGGAAAAATACTCTCCGAAAATCACTAACATCAACCCAGAGTGCTTGCTAACCAGATCAAAATGATATGAACACCGGATGGCTGTTTCGCTCGTTATGGGCTCAGCTCCTCAGTGGTGTATCACGTTTGACTGGGTGCGGAGAGCTGAATCACTTTACACAAGCCAGTTTTTCTGGTCAGCTACTTGGCAAACTGGCAACAGCTTCAATAAAGTTCGTAATTTGCAAATTTGATAAACTACCACTCATGTGAGTCAATAAGTAGTATATAGTTTCACGTATTCATGCTTCTTTTATTAACTGTTCTTTTATGGTATCAGGCAGATCACATCCTGTGACCTGAATAATTTCAGTTTTCAAAAGAAACTGTGGTGAAATTTGACCTCGAACTGTTTAAAAGTAAAACTCTAATTAAAAATCTTTGAAGTAAATTGGATATTCTGAAAGAGTACGAACCATAGAAATTACCTAAAGTGCCAAATAAACACGACGTCATTCTGTTAAGGAAGCTATCTATTAAATTTATTGTGAAGAACCATACTGTTTTGCAATAAACTAGTGGTTAATAAACTGTCAGATATGTTATGTTGTATCATAGCTACCTGTGGTTTATTTTTATTACTGCTGTCAGACCTTAAATCATTGAAAGCAGTGTAAGAAAACTATTGATATTAAATGACAATGTTCAATTTATTATTTAAGCAAATCACAGTTGTGTAGGACTGGGTAAATACTATTTAGTTTCATCCAATGATACTTTCATTTTTTACCTCACTATTACAAATAAAAACGTAAACTACAAATCAAGATATAAATTAAATTGACTCGGAATTCGAGCTTTTTACCGAATAGGTTTAATCGCATTATTGATTCTTATTGTAAGCGTGTGCGTCGGTGGTATAGCGGTTAAGAAGTTTGCCGACCATGCATATGGTCCGGAGTTCGACCCCCGGCCGGCGCACTCCTTTAACTCACTGAGCCAGAAATAATCCTGGTAAAGAGGAAAGGTTGGGCATGAGGCTAGCAACCCCATCCTGTAAAAACTAAACACTGCTACAGAAAATTCAAGCCACTAGCTTGGAGCCCTATGTTCCACTGGGAACGTGAAGGAAAAATTATTATTATTTATTGTAAGCGTGTAGGGTAAATTAGTGTCACACTTCTCCAACAAATGTAATTTCGAAGGCATTCTGAATACAGTAGGAAATATAAACACAGTTCATGCATATTTCATCATTTTTGTACAACTCTGATCAATTTTATATGTCATTAAAAGTATTTAGCGATGATAAACATACAACATCTAAATTTATTCACGGAAAAAGGAGTCGACGTGATTCTTGTTTAAAAACAAAATGGAATTAAATTGATTTTGAATGTAATTACCTCAAATTAAGCTCATGTTAGCCTTAATTTTTTAGAGATAGAAGTTGAATTATTAAAGTTTCATACTGTGAAACAATCAATTCAGTGTTATATTGAAGTGTAAATGACCAGTGAAGTCTAAAATAATGTCTGCTGAAAAATCATGCTACGTAATTTTGGTGGATGGTGACTAGTGGTGGAATCTAGGATGCGTATTTCGTCCTATTTGAGACTCTGCATTTGGATATGCCTTAAATTTCCCATGAGTGATGGCGTTCCCACTGAAACCAAAAACCTATCTTTTCACTGGGGGGTTTCAGGTACATACAGCTGAAGATTATCAAATATGACGAAAGGCGAGTTCGAAATGCCACTGATAGTCACTATCTACCGAATAGCGTGATGTTAATCTGCAGATACTGTCGAAGCCTCAGTTGTCGTAGTCGAAACCTTCTTTTGAAAAATTGTCTTTATACAAATTTATTTGTTTTTATCATGAACCAGTGGTTGAGTAGTAGAATACTCGATCAAAACATGCACAGTCCAAATTCCCTTCCTGGCCGGCACAACCCTACACATAGCAAGTTCAAGAATGAGGGATGGTTAGGTGTACGGCTAACGACTCCACTTTGTAATAATATCACCACTTGTAAAGCTTCAAAACTTAAAGGCCGATGCCCATTGTCCCACTCGGAATGATTTCAGCTAAGAAACATAAATAAGCAAAGAAAGCCTTTTTGAATGGTATATCTTAAGGATGTTGTTACCAACTATTCAGAATTTAAGATGAGGTTAACAAATTTGCTTCTAAATAAGGTCATCAATGTTCAGTAAATTAATTAATCAAGCACCTAGAAATTAGTTTATCTGGTATACTTTGAAGGTGTGAGATTGAGTGGTACAAGTATACTTCCTTTGCTTAACTTCATGAAGACAGGTAGCCATTTATTGACAAAATTACCACAAAATGGAGAGAAATCCAGCTAAATGTTAAAAATTCTAGGATTCACATATTAAGCAAGCCATTAATAATGTTTTCCACAGCACGTAAAAATTTATCAACACACAGATATATATTACCAACTGATTTACACATCTGTTATAAACGGGTACATCATGGAATCTCATCGATAAACCTAATTTAACACGGTGAACTTCAATGAAATTGCGAAAGCACTTTCTACTAGATAAATAATGTAACTCTCAATAAATGGCTTCTGGTGTAAAGCTGACTGTTTTAATTTCTAATCGGTCGTTTGTAAATGGGAATTCGTCGTAAAATAGTTGAAATAACCGTAGTAAACGATAGATATCAAGATTCGCATATTCACAAAGACAGTATTGTTACTTGAAGACATAATCTCTCTCTTAATAAAACTATATAGAAATAAAAGATTATTTTGTTTCACTTCGGCATGTCTTGTAGCAGGAAACATAATTGATATTTCAAAAAGTTTTGATATATATTTGTTTTCTAACTCGAGTAAAACATATAATAATTACTAGTTGAGTTACTTTCATCATATCGCTTATTTATTATTTTACAGGATGCTTCAGAAATCACAATCTTATCTCCCAAAGAGGCAGAAATATTACGAGAGAAAGTAAGAATTGAGTGTGAAAACAACCGGACCTTAGAACGTAAGTTACACGGATGAAAGTATACAAGCATATTATATTTTCGGCAGTCATTCACAACATATTCGGCAATTTTATTTAGAGGTTTGAACAGTTGTCTGTTAGGTATGCATATTCGTTATCATGTTTTCATGATTAAATGTGATTTATTTCGTTTCGGCATCTTGAAGTTGCATGCGAAACACTAAGAATACTATATGGATTCTGAAACTAAAAAGTATTGCCCTTAATTGTACTGTAAAAGGTTATTTTTATTATGGGGCAAATTATATTTCATGAGTTAGTTTGTAAGAGTTTGACTTATTTCAAGTTTCATTATTGGTATGATTTAGGGGACCAGGGAAAACCAGGTAGTGCTGGATAGATGATTGAGACTTTTTGGAAGCACGCATCCACCAAGGTTCGAATCCAGGAACTTCCAGTTACAAAGCAAGCTTTTAGACTTGAAGCAGATCAAACCCCTGTAAACCAACCCTTTGAAATTGATCTCATGCTCACTAATTACTGGCTGCAGGATCTACTGTGTCTGAGTTCTAGCAAGAAGCCGTGACTGGTCGAATTCACCCATTGGGGCCTGAGGACAAATACCTGCCGATAACAGTGGCTGGCTGTCATGCTACAACCACAGTTTAGTAGAACTTAGAATTTATGGACAATGACATCTAGTCTCATCGGCTGATTGGCGTACGAACTAGTTTTGTAACCAGTAGGTCCTGGGTTCAAATCCTAGTGGGTGTGTAATAACGAAGATTCTGACACTAGGAGGAGACAGCACTCCCTCCTCTTTCATGGATCTCTGAATAACATCAGTCCGTGATCAGATGTGAGTTAAATTATGTGAATAAAAACGTCAAGTTACAACTGTTTCTCCTTTAAAATGTTTTCAGATGAATTTGTTTATGGAATTACATCAAAAACAGTAGATCTTACTAAAATGTCCATATATTCTTCAGTGTTGTGAATATGTGTCGTGAATTAATTCATTCTCAGATAAGGATAAACATTACAATGTTCTGTTTATTAAAGAAGATTATTGTAATCATAATGGGTTAGTAGATAGAAAGTGGACATTCTAGCATCAACATTTCCACTTCTGTGTATCTGTTTCGCTATGAAAGAAAAGAAATCTGATAAAGAATCTGAAAAGTAGCGTTATAACGACAGGTGCCGGTTATGTGTTACTTATAAAAATCGATGAGTTTAGAAGGAGTGAAGGGTTATCGTAATAAGCATATAAAATATGAAGGATGAAGAGGATTATATGAAAAACATTGAAGAGAACAATGATGAACACTTAAACAGAATACAAAATAATTGAAACTGTTAAAAGGAAACATATTAGGAAACCTATCTTCAGTATTTGTCAAGAATTTCGTTCACAATGTTGTCTTTCGAAACTCAACACCTAAATAAAGGTTTTGAAGGAAAACCCCTGTGGACACTTGATCGAAACGCATCTTGCAGATTGTAGCCCTACCGCTGCTTTCAGTTTGTTTCTCGGGACACATTTTATGCATGAATTTGAAAAAGAATTTTTGTTTAACATCATTATGTCTTATTGAACTGCTAGTATTTTCATTATTTCATTTACCGTTTTTGGTACATCTTCGGTTGTGTTTCACTTCATAAGCTAAATTTAATCTGTTTGCATATTTATGCAGTATATTATATTATATTATGGTCTTCGTCTGCTTCACTTTTAATTTTATGGTTTTCGCATTTTGTGATATCATGTGAGAGCAAACTAGATTTGTTCAGCCATTTTATCATTAACCTATCGGCATTTATATTTCCTCTTTGATCATTGAGCTGCAAATCACGAAGGGCTGTTTCGCTAAGAAAGTAATAAACTGATAATTATCAATAAAGATTTTATCAGAAACTGTCGTCGGTTAAAGGAATCATTGAATTTCACGTAAAAGTGGAGCGGTTTTACATCTTGATTCAGTTTGGTATTTTGCTCCTATAGTCCTTAAGAAGATAGACCAAGTGACAATCAGACTATAAGTGGGTTGAGTAGTAGGTGGTTTGGACTACTAAATCAGTTGTGAAACAGTTGTTCACCACTTGTATCGGCTGGTGGTGTTGCTTTATCCCTATGCCGTTGATCCTCTAACTTTTGTAAGTCACCATCATGATCTACATAAAAATAAACCATATATTCTATACTAGTGTGTTTCCAAGTATTTGAGAATAATATACTCTAGGGTAAAACTTTGAATGATTCAAATTCATAACAACACATTTGAGGAAAAAGAATTCTTTTCAATTAGACCTCATAATGATTAACTATACAAAACATAACTTTACAAATAAGTAGTAAAATATAAGCCAATCATGTTGATTTGTCAAGAGAATAATAAGATTGTGCATGCAAACTCTGCATTTAGTCACTGTAATACTGGTAACATTATTATTGACAATAATGCTGATATCATTGGTGAATCTATCGATAACGAAGATGAAAATGTGGAGCTATTTATGATAATGAGAATAAGGAAATACAGCATGGTCTAAGAAACTAATATTCAGGTAGTCCATACATACTATGAAAAACAAATAGTCTGACTAGACACTGCTAGACTGTAGGGTAAGTAAATCAATTAAGTTTTCATAAAGATGTGATAAGATTGAAGAATGTTGGATGGAGGATTGAAAACATAAGTAATGGGTGGTGGTGACGTCATCCGTTGATTAGGTCTTGATAGGTCATGCATAGTGTAAACGAACACGAAGGGCACTGGAAATTTTCGGTGATATGCGATGAATCACCTTGAATGGCTCCGTCCTCTGCACTGAATAACCACCCTTAAGTAAGTTTGCAAGGTATAGATGTTCTTTTTCTGTCCTTTGCCAAACCACGATGTGAGTAATTCAGTCACACGTTGTTTCAGTTGTCTAGTGGTACGCCCAAGATAACCATCACAGCTGGAACTGCTAAACCACGCCACTGTTTAATGTCCTCTAAATCACATTGTTATAATAACAATAATGAATTTAAATTCAAAGTGCGTGAAATAAAACGAGTTGGCTTCAAGTTAACACACTAGCATACAATCCGTTTTTATCCTAGATAGTATTTTCCTTTTTTAGTTTATATTCAGTCGAAAAACGAAGACGAGCATGTAGACACGCCTCTGATCTTATAAATAGAATAAATTTTATGTATTATGTAACATCAGATTTGTTGTGAATGGGATTTCAAAAAGACGTTCATTGGGAATTATTTGGAGTCAAATGCTTTTTTTTTAACCGGAAAATCAATACAAACAGTTAATGAAAGACTAAGACGCTGTTTTCATTGATCCTTTTTCAAGTAACAATAACAGGAAATAAAACTGAGTGAAACATACTTCAAAATTTCTCTGAGTTTTATATCACTATGTAATAAGTACAATTCACTTCCGTTAATCTGTTATTTCTATTTCTTCGGTGTCGTTTATCAGCTAATTTTAGCTGACTGAATTAGAGAGATATAGAAAATTGAAAACATAAGAAAATTTGTTCGCTGCATTTTGTAGATTCCAAAAAGTGTAGGACGTGATTATTATTTAACCTTGGTGGAGATAATACCGACAGTCTTTCAAGTAGCGCTTAGATGTGACTTGGATAAGTGGAGATTGAGTACATGTGGCTAATCCGATCGGTGTGTAGTTATCAAACTGAAGTCGTAAATGCGCAAACAAATAAAATAAAGTATTGCTGTGGCCTAAAAAGTAAAGTTTTTGCTTTGTGATCGTATATACGTCACCCCATCTCATGGTGATCATGTATTTGCCTTCCCCTTTTGGAAGCATTTTGCGTGACCCTGGCGAGTATTCGCCAGTGTTTCGCCTCACACTTTCATATGCTCTCTTCTCCCAATCTCTCAGCAGCGTCCCAAGTGACAGCTTCATCGCTGACAGATCCTGAATGCCACTCAGCTGCGCAACAACCTCGAAGTCCTGCCCAAAGATCCATTTGTTCCCGTCGAAAACTTCGGGAGATAGGCTTTCAACTTGTTGGAACACATGTCTGTATCACACCATCACAAAAGGCTTACTATTGCGTTGGCAAGCTCCATTCTTGTCAAAGGGATTTTGCTGGAACAATCAGAGTACTATGAATCTCAGTCTTATTGCGAATAACCCTGAAAATCAGCAGTTCACAGAAGCTTCAAGCAAAACTTTGGTAAATGTTTGCCAAGCACCAGTAAAGCAATCAGTGGTTATGAAAGAAAGAATATAATTGATTTGTTAACTTCCTTTAGACCAATTGGATTAGTGCTTCATGTAGCTACTTAATTTTACCTCGATTAAACATAGAGTTAGGTGAAGATCGTTTAATCGGTTAGGGAATGACTGCTTCGAGAACGAAGTTTTCTTCACAGGTTGGAGATACGTCGTCTAAAGTAAAATCCAATGTCAATAAACCTGCAGATCTTTCGGACTAGCTTTCGGCTGGTTTGTTATTCAAAAAGCCTAAGATGATGAAATTAATTCAAACAATAACAGACTAATTTCTTTTCATTTATTTGTAATACATTTTCTCTGCGTGTCTATGGGTGGTATTCTTTCAGCATATTTTGTAAGAAGCTGGCTTCAATACCAACCAAACTTTGCCTATCTGCGGTAGTTATCATAAAAAGACAAGATCCAAATTGCAACGGAAGAATTGTTTGGAAAATCGCTTCTGAACTATCGAGTCACAATATTTACACTTATTAGGATGTTTCAACTCTATAATTATTATCGGTTTTTCTCTTAGACTGCATATTATTGCTCTGGCATTTGTCTGTCATATGCTGACGTAATCCTTATTGTTTGTTTTCGTCTGCAATTTAAACGCACCTCTTCATGGTTGTGAGACTTATTGATAATGTATTCTTTTACGGTGTGAATTTTTCAGTGAATCAAAGTCATTCTTACCTTTAACTGTTTGTTGGGATTGTTGGGTGCATTGTGGTTTGCGGGAAAATGTTTACGCAGTATTTCAAAAAAGAAACTCCAGTTTGATAACAAAATGACTTCAGTTAAAGAAATTCCGTTGAAATAACGGAATACTAGATAGCTGTCTTGTCCATGTTCAAGACTCTTCAACAATGCACACTAGTAATCACTAGTGTCTGACTTGTAAATTTGGCTGCCTAAAGTTCTAGAAAGTAGGCTCAACAAACAGGGTTCATCAACTTGGGCGGCCTTAGATTGCTCTGTCTATCATGAATCGATAGATATTAGACTTGATGAGTCACTAAAATTTATCCAAGTGGTTGAATAGTCGACGATCCTTGGTTACAACACGAAGATCATCGGTTCGATCTCTGGTGAGGTAATGGGTACTGTTTGTGTAGTCTTGTGGCAAAATATAACCTAATGAAGTCAAACGGATAAAACTATTGGTTACAGGATTTTATCATGAGCTGACATTGGTTAGAGAACCATTGGGAAACGTGGGAGTACTGGACAGCTGTTTCGTCCTAGTTTGGGACTCTTCAGCAGTACTCACCCACCACAGGAGGTTCTAACCCAGGACCTTCTGGTTACAAGGCGAGCTCGTAGACCATTGAGACACTGGGACCCGATCCAATGGCTAGTCCATGAATTCTAACTTCTGCCAGTTCATGACATAGTGCGACCGTCGGCCAATGTCTTCGGCGAGTATTTGTCCTCACTCCTGACTATCTGCACCCTACTGGTCACGAACTCCCACTGGAACCCCAGGCAACCCCGGGTAACTACCTACCTGAATAGGGCCAGTTACCAGTAAGCATCTAATTTGTATTCAAGTATTGGTTTGTAGGGATTTGGTTCTCTAACCAATGTCAGCTCATGATGAAATCCTGTAACCAGTCAACCAAATCTCTACAAAGCAATACTTGGATAAAACTATTTTTGCACATTCTTCACAATAAAGGTTTCTGTGTACATAATTATGTTTTATTAAGTACCTACCCTTCACGTAATGCATGTATGCGTGCATTGTATTCCTCCTAATCACAAGTGTTTACATATTCAGAACCTGTTTTTATAACTGAAAGAAATAGGGAATATGTGGTAGAAATAATTCAGTGTACAACGTTTATTGTCTCTGCACGCCACCTGTCAAAATATCTTCTTGGCTTTTCATTTTAGCATCTTCCACTAATTTCCAGAAATCATGAGGTCGGTTTTTCTGGAATAAACTCATAAAATGTGTTGATAATTTGGATTTCCTCTTCTTAACCTCCTTAGTATTGTACAAATATGCGTTCTTCGCCATCCATTTTCCTTATTCCCATACAGTTTTTAGATGTAGTTTGGAACAAACACTTGAATCGGTATTTTTTCGGTTCCTAATCAAATATAGGGCTTCAACACCACATCTCCACTTTCTTCTGTTCCCTGACGTCCTCTTTAGCTGGCTCTATGATCATTCATAGGCTCTCATTTCCTCATCCATGTCATCATTAGACACCCAACTTGTCACTTCCCAATCGGATTCCACTGGAGGTGGGTGGTGTTGCCCAAAGATCCTTGCAGCGATTGTCCAATCCATCATCATTTTACTGAGCAGTAGGTTCTTGGTTGGTTTTTTCCCAGAGTTTCTTGTTGGTTAGAACACAGACATTCTGTTAAAATTAAGGCGGTTTATATATTGTATACAGAATGAGTTTTAGCGAATTCGTAGAAATTAATATGGTACAAGACGAAGGTGGCATCTTCACAAATACAACTCTTCTACTGAAGTCTGGATTTTTGAAACCACTTGTGATCTTTTGTTGCATTCATCTAACAAGACAGAACTATCTTTATTTTGTTTGAAGATCTTATCCAAATACGTCTGCGTTTATATACAGAAACCATCTCATTAAAATAGTTGTATCAGAAATTTTCTCTTTGTTAAAGCGTCACGTAAATTAGTCAGCTGTTTCCCCTTTTGACGATAGAAATAAACTAAGTCATCATTGAAATAATAGAGAATACTTGTATCTAAGATGGATGGCATTGATATGATTGTATTCTCTGAGGTTGGCGAATCAATTGCGAAGCTTTCATTGTCTTTCTATGTGACATCATAGGCGTGTTACTTCAATATTTAAACCACAGACCAAATATGTACTGAGCCTTCATATTTGTACTAAATTTCATCATATTTCTCTTTTTTTCCTTGAAATACATATATCTTATTTATTTGTTTGCATTTATTTTAGTGAAATCTCAAATCTATTCACAAACAGAATACTGTCTCACAGAATTTGACTCAGTTTCATGTTGGCCAACAACAAAAGGCAGAGCTACTGCTAGAATTCCTTGCCCATCACATGTACCAGGTGCTAGGATTACTGGTACTGTCTATCGCGTGTGTAATTCAACAGTTAAAACTGAAGTTTCAGATGGCCAGTATAAAATAATATGGGAATTTGGTCGACCTAACTACAGTGAATGTGTACATAAAACAGACATTGCAGCGGTAAGTATTCGTGTTTTTCTATTTTGATTTGTTGCTTTGTAAACGGAGAATGAGGGGCTTATGAACATTAAATGTCTTCTTGCCATCCTTATTTGATCGTGTTATCGAAAAAAACAAGCAGTAGCTTTTTTAAATGCATATTTTCAGGAGTGAGAGTTCACAGCATCTCAAATGTAACGCTCATTTACACATTATTAATGAAATCACCAAACCTATGCTTTAACTGCTTTTCGAAGGATGTTATTGTTACGACGGGCAATATGTCACTATTTAACGTAAAGTTACGAGTGAGGCCACCAGTCATAGACTGATTATTCATCTAAGGTTTTAATTTCTGTCGATGTGTAGACGGCAGATTATAAAAAAGTTGTCGTTTTCAGAGTTGTCTCAATTAAATCTGACTTCTGAGTCTATGTCATTGGGGGGAGGGGGATATTTTCAAGTGATCAGTTGGCTACAGCGTCGTGAATTAAGGCTCATTCCAGTCAGTATAAACAAGAAAGAAAAACACTAAACACTTCATTAAAACAGTTATTTTCACTAAAGGCATTCTAGTAATCTTTTACTTCATTTTTTGTTAGCTTAGGCAGAAGTTATTATCATAACAGTAATTTTAATTATAATAATATTGTTCCCTTGGGATCCTAAGTAGAAAATGTAGGGCTTCAACAGCACATTTGCACTTTTTGCTGCTCTCTGTGATACTCCCTATCCGGCCTATAATATCTGACCTCCTCCATGTCATCATGTGAAGCCAGGCATGTCGTTTTATACTCGGGTTCCATTAGAGTGGAAGCCTGGGACATAGTATCATTCAACTGTCTCTTCTGAGTGTCACCAATCCATCTCTATTTTAATGTCTATTTTCTCCGGGGCAATTGTTTCTTGGTTGATTTGTCTCCAGAGCTTCTTTCCGCTAATTCTTCCTGGTCATTTGATAATCAAAATCTAGCCGAAGAAGTCAGCTGTTTTTAAGAGTCTGGAGACTGATGCGTATGCTTTCCGTGAAGCAAGTGTCAAGTTCCTGACTCACAGAGAAGAAGCGACTGACTGAATAGTGGTGTTGAAAATTTGCTTTTTGTTGTTTCTTCTGAGTGTTGTCCGAGAGATCTTGAAACTGATTTCGGCGTGACTGAAGTTTATCATGCCTTTCCCATCCTGATTTTGACATCCTCGTCTGTGTTTTCGCCCATAGTTGAAAGGATACTGTCTAGACGAGGGAAAACAGGAACCTTTTTCAGATTAATTAAGTTAACAGTGATTGGTTATTTCCATCGCTTCCGTCCTCCAGACGCTGAGTTGAAATCTTACCTTTTCTGCTTTCCGGCTAGTTTTCTCGTTTTTGTCTGTAGATCTTTGAGTTTTATGATATTAAACTTGAATCATCCACGAAATCCAGATCTTCTGGAGTTCTTTTGTCGGTATAGCGTTTTCTCTCCTCTTACAACCGACAATATAACGCTTAATCCTGTCTAACACAGTTTGGAATATCATTGGTGATGATAGACAGCCTTGTTCTTCTTCTGTATTCACTTCAAACGATTCGATGAGTCTCAGTTTTATCTTTCAGCTAAATGCATCTACTTCACACAGAAAAAAGTAAGTAAATGGACACATTCCAAATTACGTTTAGATTGAAACATAGTTTTAGCAGTATAATTACACTTTATTTCTACTCCTGTAATTTTTAGTTAATGTTACTCACATTGTATTTTATAGATTCATTTACCAATCATACAAACATCAGTATTTTATGGTTACGCTATATCCATGGTTTTACTACTCGTAGCTACAGGAATAATTTTACGATTTCGGTAAGCTTAAAATCTTTGAAGATTCTTTTGGTAAATTCTCTAATTTGACAATGTTTCACATTGTAAAATCTGACTCACGAAACTCACTCAGCAGCACTGACTACGTGATCAGTCTACGTATCTATCGTACTCACTTGCCGACTGATCATTTCAGTGGGAGTCTAAATTTCCAGAGCAATATTCAGTTCCTACACGGTTGTGCGTGTGTTTATGTTTGTCGTGCACAAAACCTAGGTTCAGGGTTTTACCGTTAATTACCTGTCATCTTTGTTATGATAATCTTCTTGAATTTTCAGTGTAAAGATAGAGCTTCGGCAGTGTGGTAGAATTTAATTTCAGAACCGAGTAATTGTACGCACGAGTAACTGTGCGTTGGTGGCACAGTGATTAGGACTCTCACCGACCATGCACATGGTCCGGGGTTCGATCCCCTACCAACGCACACCTGATGTCTATGGTCAGCCTGCAAAATTTGGGCTACCGATATCACGCTGAAAATTTTCATACCTGTACCAAAAATACAGTGTGGAATCAAGCTGTAATCAAAAATAAAATAAAGTATTCAATGAAACTGTTTACAGCTCTAAGAATTCATTGGTTTAAATGTCATCTTAATTCCAGCCTAATTAGGAATCCTAAATAGGGTCTATGACTTCATTTTCATCGTGAACAGTTCAAAAGGTGTACAGATTTATGTTATTAGTCCTTCGTTCATTGACCATCAGACACTTTGTGACTATATGAAAGTAGTTATAAAAATACTATGGTGAAGCTTTTGGAGATACATTTGCCGGAATGAAATCTCCTCTGAGCTTCTTATTATTTTGCTCTTTAATGTCCTGATAGATATTTTTCATGATAATTCCAATTGACATGATAATGATCACTAGATTATATTCAAATCATCATCTAAAAAATAATGGAATTTTATCGTATAATATATATAATAAACTAACTTAAATGGTGCGGTCTAGTATGAGATTATCGTGAAAAGAGGACATTTTATTTATTTAGAAGCAAGAAGTGAAGTAAAACCACTCCATCTTAGCGGTAAAGTTAAATTTCTACACAAAAGAAAAGTAGGAAGCTCTGCTGATCACAAATAAAATGTCACACTCCACTGATTAGCTTGGAAATCACAATAATAGTTATCCTGAGATTTCATAGCGCTAATATGTAGCGCTATCATTTTAATAGAAAGCGGACGTTGTTCATTTGTTGTTTGTACTCTGTTGATTTCCACTAGATATGCAGATAATTTCGTCAATCTTTCATAGAACACTTACTCCGTTACTCATGTCTATCCGTCCTAAAAGGCAATAATGGTAGAAAGTGGTTAACATGCGAAAAATGATTTGTCGTATAGTAGTAGCGTGTTTCAGAAAATTTAAAATGTAAATAAGAAATTAAATATATTTTCTATAGTTGGTTTGTAAGGATTTGTTTTGTTTTTACTAGTTGATCACCTTTTGAAATCAGTTAGAGAACCGTTGAAAAATCAGGGAGTACTGGACGTCTATTTCATCCTAGTTTGTGAATTATCGATAGTATGCACCTGCTGGAGTTTAAAATTTTCTGAATTGTTTGAAAGATTTATAAGTTGGATCACTTATTACTGTGGTTAATGTATTGTAGACAATTTTCAGGACACACTCGCATCGATGTAATCATCGAGAAAACCATAATTGAAATTATTTTTCGGGAAAAGTAGTGAGAAAAGTCACCAACGTCTCAAACGATGCATGAAATATCAACTGTTGCTGTCAAGTACTAGATATGCATTTTTCATTCTACGAATCCTGTTCTTAAATTACATCTGAATGAAGGACTTTCATTTGTAGTGGACTATACACGCCTGAAAATGTTAGGCACTTGAACAATATTCTTCTAATCAAAAACCTAAATGTTTCAGGTGAAATGAATAAATAACAGTTTATCTTAAAGATTCGAAATCACACCATTTAGTCCTACAATCATATTAACTACTGTAATGTTCATTGCCACAACACTTTTCGATGAAAGTATGTTAGTATTTTCAACAAGCTTTCAAATATAGCGTACTTAAAACTACAGACAAGAACGAATTCCAGTCAACATGCTTCTGGCTTCTAACTGATCACCACTAATTACAGATTTCTTGATATTCTTTACTCCTGGTTTTTCACCACAAAGTTTGTTATCTGCAGAAAGCTGCAAATACAACATTAGTCAAAAAGTGTAATAAAAATTCAACAGTAAATTTCCTGATATTGAAACAAGCAAGCATGTGATTTATATAAATGAATGATTAAAATGACAGGTGCTATCTTATATTCCATGATCCGTGGCTTTATTGACTGGTAAAAAGTTGGGCTAATTTTTTTATGTGTTTAGTTCTGTGTGTAGGAAAATTATCCTCATCATCACCGTCACGTATGATTTGACAGCCGACAGTGAACTGAAACTGCCTGAGATATACAACAGTAAAAACATCTTTTTCAAACGCTAAAAACACCACTAAACATGAACTGAAACATGAAATAAAATTCATCAATTAAGAGTTGGACATTGCATAGAATCGTTACACCATGAAAAGGTAGATTAAAACCAAAGGGAAGCATTACAAATTGTGGTTTATAAATGACTGCAACAGCTTGAAAATTGAGAAGCATGTATCAAAGTGAAGAGAAAATTAAAAAAAGGAGATAAGAAATATTTTCATGTAATCGCTCTCTAAAGGAATGGAATTCATCGAACTATATCAAAACCGGAAATGCCATAACTTTCAACAGTGACAGTCTAAAATCTGGTTCAGCAGAGGTTTTTTGGTAGCCTTATTTATTAGATTCTATAGTCAGATATCGTTGTTTAAATTTTCTATCATCATTTGAGTAAATCAAATCAATCAATTAATATATGTAGGAAAGGATTTTTCAAGGTATAATTGATTTTTATGCCTTGTTATTAAGAAGTCCTGAGTCAGCGAACCGATTTCTCTACCTAGCTTCATTTCAAGGCTGTAAAACGCTTAGGAAATTTATATACGCAGTGTTACCCAAGTATAGGTTTATAGGGATTTGATTCATTTGTTACAGGATTTCCTCATGAGATGACATCATCAGAGAACTATTGGAAAACCTGGGAGTACTGGACAGCTGTTTCTTTCAAACCTCAGTGGGTAGATTCTGTGAAGAGTCCCAAGCTAGGACGAAACAGCTGTTCACTACTCTCTGTTGGTTTTCCAAAAATTCTCTAATTGATGTCAACTCATCACGAAGTATTGCATACCCAGTGTTAATTGACAATAAAAGTCAGTGGTGAAAACATATATCATTATTTATTCAGGTTTTTGCATGTGGGTCACTAAAGCTTTGGCAATATGTGGAAGATGTTACTAACATGCTTTTAAGTGTTCTGTGACACCCTTTAGAAAATCATGCCTTAACTGTTCATGGGCACATAATGTACAGCCTTTGTACCTAACTCCACTGAAGAAAGTGAATTGTTCAATGCACAATAAGTTTGCTAACAACAGCTTCTCGCCCTCTTCTTCTTTAATTTCATTACACCTTCGCTTTCGAAGAACTCTGAAATGAATTTCGTTGATCATTTCAGCATCAGTAACATATTTTATCTAATTGGCTATGATATTTATCAACTAAGACAAAGGAGGTGTTGATTTTCGCTTTTCCTATAGTGTTTACTACAGTAAATTTTCCTTAAGTTTCTTCCATGTGAACTGCTATCTTTCCCTAAATGAAATTAAGTCGTTTATTTGAATTATTGTCATTAAGTTTTGAAAGAAGTAGGTGCGTAAAAAAGGGTTTATAATTTTGTGGTTTTATATAGTTATTAGTCATATGAATAAAGTAAACATTTTTTTTAACCTTTTGGATAAAATATACTTTTTACCAGCTACTTATTACAATGTTCTTAAATAGGGTTATACTAGGTGCAAAGAAAAAATTCCTTGAATATCGACATGTGAGAGATTTTGAGTTATGTGAAATAACAATCAGGAGATTAAACAAAGGAAACAAGAATTTCAGGAAAAAGTTGGCTTTTCGGACAGTTTCATTCTCAGTGCGCTGTATATTCGAAATTTATATGCGTATTTATATAATTAATATGTGACAAAAGATCACTTTTAAAGTTCATTTTCCACCACTTTTTTCATTTCTTTCATATTCTGTTAATTGTTAGCTATAAATATTACTACAATCTTTTCCCATACACGTTGTTATCACAACTGTATCTACGGAAAACGAACATTGGGAAAAACTGGCAACTATTTTCCCGACCCGCTATTATACAATAATTTGTTGATTGGATATATCACATAGTGAAACAGTATTTTTTTTACTGGATGACAAAGTTTTAAAAACAGACTGTTATTTCTAATCATATCAGTTTTGAAACTTGAATTTTATATTCCTATTTCTCCTTTCTCGTGTGTCTCAAAGGTAGTAGGATTATCCTCTTTCCGCAAACCTCCAAATTTTGGTGTCGACCTGAAGGTTTATTATCTCCTTTAAATTTCAACTTAGTTACTCTGCTGATTTGAAAAATATTTATAACTGTGCTAACCAATGTGTATAAACTGCGATTGTGAAGCAACTGGTAATGAAATCATCGAAAACATATCTTTTCGGACCTTATTGTTTTAGTTAATGAGAGACTTCATCATTTTACAGCCGAATATCTACCACAATTCACTCTATGTTAGAAGAGCAACAAATTTCAGTGAAGAGTCTCTTTTCAACGAATTCACTCACTTAGCTGTACAACCAAATTTGGACATAATTATTTTTTGTGTGTGTACTTTAGGATCGTCAAACAAAAATAAAAATGAACTAGGGTTAATGTTTACGTCATCAAAATGTTTCTAAAATGCGATGAATTGTAACTAGGGTGGGGGGCGTGAATATTGGTATGTACTGACAAATGTTGCGTAATGTGAAATAGGACGTTACTGGACACACGTGTCCAAAAGCAAATTACTTTAGAGACAATAAATAAAG